GACTGCTTTAAGTATTGCATCCCGAGTAGTTCTTCTAGAGAATCTCACAAATATTTCGCCAGGCAGATTATTTTTCTTGATGTATTCAGAATACGTCCAATACACCACATCCATCTCACTTTGTAGAAAGTCTGCTTTATAATCCACCAACAATGCCAATGCTCCACTTGAAATTTCCTTGAGATTTTCTCCTTTCTGTTCCAGGACACCCTGGAATCTCATGCTATATAGCGATTTTTCCATTTGCAGTAATAATATCTGTTGTTTCTCAGAATCTTTCACTTTTTCTACTGTCTCCAGTCTCTGAGATAAGTGTTTGGCCTTATCTTCCACTTTTTTTCAGCATTTTTGTTGCTTTTTCAACTTTCTTATTAGTTTCTTGCTGCTGTTTCTGGAGAGACTCAAAATTTCTATTGTTGAGTCATCTGCTCCAGCAGAAGGCGCAATGCAGCATTTAACATATTTGGGAAATCTACACTGGCTTCCTGTTTAGAGGATGCTCCGGCTGAGCTGATACTTCCTGAAGAAGGTCTTATCTTGGGCGCCATTTTCAGCCCACCAAAGTTTTGTTTACACTAGTGAAAGTTTCGATTAAATCTTGGAAAGTTTATTTGCTTATAGCCTCTGGCTAATCTCCACTTTATTTGAGTTGTGAGATACTTTTTAATTGGCTTCCCCTCTTTCTAACTCTGGATTTAAGTTCTGCTTTGAGGTGAGACCGGCTCCACCCCCTCCTCTAGTAGATTATGGATTTACAGAGGGGATCGCCCGCTTAGCTGTTTGACTGCAAAATTGTCAGGACTCAAACTTAATCTTCTTCCCTGAATGTAGGGAGACTTTCAATCATTGCTGGGTTGTTGCTCACTCTACCGGCATGCGCCGCTCACCTCCAGAATGGAGCCGCAGCGGCAGGACATTTAGGAGCATCGGAGAGCCTGTATCCCTCAGCCTCAGCTTTGGGAGAGGCACTCCTTGTGTTCCAGGCTGGGGACCCCCTACAAGGGCCCCGGGGGGGTCCGGAATTGTCTGAAACCCCTCCCTACCACCGCGTTACAGTCCGCTCCTCACGGAGAACCGCAGGAGCACATCCGCCATTCAAGTTGCTGAAACCGGAAGTCATACCAGCTGTAATTCCAAGGGATCCCCAAGTTCTACCTGGAGGCTGGCATCCATGACCCCCCATGCCTTAAGATATTCCGCTCAAGGGTCGTCCTTTGTCCTTCTGTTTCTATAGGTCTTTGCTCATTCCATAAGAGCACAGGTGACCTCTGCAGCCTTCCATCATTGTCTGTCAATCAATGTCATTTACAAAGCAGCCATACGGTTTTCATCCTCCATCTTTGCAAAACACTATTACATGGACATTGATGCCTCAAAGCAAGCAGAGGTCAGAAAGTGTGTTCAACTAGAGTTCACCCCACTGTCCTTATCCCATAAGTCACCTTGCTGCTGACTGCCCAGGCACCATAATGATGAAAACAGGGTTGCTCTTACCTGTAAGTGTTGTTCATCAAGCAGTTGCCTGTGCAATTGCATACCCCTCACTCTGACCCTGCCGTGAGCTGCATTGGTCTCTCTGATTGCTCTCTCCAGTGATGGGCTTGAGGAACTGAAGGATAGGCAGTTGTCCCCTACCATGCCAAAAAGGGCAGGAAAACAGCTGTTGAGAGGAGGGGAGGAGCACCTCATGCACTTCTAGAGCTTTTGACATCTCCTCTGGTAGGTGTGCCAAGGGCAGCAGTACCTATGTGTGACTGCACAAGCAACCACTTGAGGAACATCAGTTACAGGTAATGGCAACACTGTTTTCTACCCTAATGGCTTTATAGGTCTGAAACATGGAGGTTTCATGTTCTTCGATAATATTACTGGTGATTTGTGGAAGGTTCAAGAACATGTGAGAATATGCTTTCAGTTGCTTGACTACACTTCACAACCTAGTTCCAGCAGATTGCAGAATATGCAGAGAACTCTCCTCCCATGAAGCTTGTCCTGCCGATTTCAATGGAAAAGACAGATTTGTGCATGAATCTGTTCTTACAAAGTTGTTATTCCGACTACAATGAATGTGAGAGCCTTCATATCTGGAATTTCAAGAAATACATTAGAATAACCATAGGGACAACTTCTTTGCAGTTGGGTAATCTGGATCATCACAAGCATTTAAAACAAAACATAAAACCATTTTAGCAGTTCTACAACTAGAAATATCCAAGAATAATGCTATGAAAAAGTAGGTCCCTCTGCTGTCCTGTCTGTTTATTGTTGTTGCTATATCTGAATCGAGACCCATATCTATCTTTCTGTGTATCTACCTTTCTGTCTGTCTGTCTTTCTTTCTGTTATATTTTTATGGGTTTTGTAAGCCACTTTGAAGCTCCAGTTGTAAGGGAAAAAAGATATAAATGTTCAAATAAATAAATGAATGTGTGTGCAGAAACTGTTATGAGGTTCCTTGTATATGTATGCAGGTGCTGTGATACACACAGGGAACTCTTGTGCTTTCAAAGGTTCCTCTTCTCATTGTGGTGTTGTAGAGAGCTCTGTGGCACTTTAAAGACTAACTGGTAATTTCTATTTCAATGTATCTGAAGGTGTGTGCATGCACACAAAAACTTATACCTTGAATAAAACTTTGTTGGTCTTAAAGGTGCTACTGGGCTCAAATTTTGTTCTGTTGCTTCAGACCAACACAGCTACCCACCTGAATCCAACATTTATTTCAGTATGCCCTTTTTGTCAGATTAATATGTGAAGGAAAAACTATCTGATGAAGTTAGTGTGACTTGTGAAAGCTCATATTGAAATAAATCTTCTTAGTCTTTAAGTGGCTGGTGGACCTTCCCCCCCTGCTATGACAGACTAACATTGGTTACCCCTTTGCAATCATCAAAGGTCTATGCAACAGTCCCCTGCTGTGTATTTGTTTGGAGCTGCCCCCAGTGGTGTGTTGAGTAGGAAACGGGTACTAACAGTGTGACTAGAGAAGTCATGCATCTTTAACTATATTTAGGACGATCCTATTCTTTAGGTTCAGCACTTTATTTCAGATGAATGAAGTGGTGTTAAATGTAAGCGTGTAGGTGAATTAAGAACAAGGGTGTACCAGCCAAATTAACTTTTCAGTCCAATTATTTTTCATTGTGTTGTTTGTAATATACACAGGGTGCAATTCAGTGACTGCTTACCTAATTGTAATCCCACTGACCTCAAATGAGAATACCCTAGTTTAAGAGGTCAGAGGGTTGACCTTTACTCAAAAAGCTATAGTTTGCATAAAAAAGAGGAAGGTCTATGGTTTATAGTGCAGTAGCCTGATCTTTTGCATGAATCTCTGTGTTCTGTATGATTAAAACCATAATAGGTATAAACATTAAGATATCCTGTTAGTTGAAACGGTGTAATTTTTTTTTGGTTTAAAGATTACACTGTGACCTTACAAAATTATCATTTCATTAAATTGTACCCACCAATCCTTTTGTCTGATTCCTTTCTCTAAAATGAAATGTTAAGGTTTTGTTTTCTTCCACTCTGGTGAATAATGTTTCCTCTTAAACTTTAACCTTTGATCCTCTCTCACCCAACTATTGACATCTGGTCATTATTTCTTTTACTGCTTTCCACCCCCTGTTGTCAGATGGACTGTTCTGTTGTCTAAAACACTTGATAGGTGGACAGGTTTATATAATACGAGGTGAGTTTCTGTAGAACCTAATTGGATGTTGTCTTTTTCATGCAAAAGAAAACTGCCAGTGCAAAGCTCTCTACTGCTCTCCACCATGTTGGTTTCTGACAATGTACATTAATTAACGGTTGTACTCTTAGTGTGGAGACAGACCTTATCTCTGACTATGGATGATGGTATTCAATGATCTGTGAAGTGAAAATGTGAAAGAACCACCTGGACACAGTTTTTCTGTAATCTTTTGTCCATCAAAAATTTCCAATGACATGTATACATAACAGCCTCCAAAGGACAGAGAAACTGCCTTATGTGTAAGAAGTCTGTAAGAAAGACAATACAAATTTCTGGTGCCACTGACAGTATTCAGAGGCCCCACACTCCAATTCAGGGTGTTTCTCCCCAGGCAAGTTGAAAAACACTAGAATAACAATGAAAGCCATTTTTGTGCCAGTGTCAGATGTTGTGTTAATGAATTCATCTCTGTGATCCAGTGGCTCCAGTGTACACATGGAGTTCCACATAAACAGAAGCTTCCCTGTTCTTTTCTCTGATCAGTAAAGTGCTCTAGGTTTGTATAAAAGAGAACAGGGGTCTTCTGTGTGTGTAGGATTTTGGACTGTGGCCTAAATTGTTTAATCGTAGCTTGAACATAATCCTTCTGAAAAGCACCATAATGTGCATCTTAAGCAACTGTGCCCAAATAATTCATCATACCATGCATTAAATAACTTTGTTCAAAAATTAGGCTCAAGCTGCTTTACTCACATGAGTAAGCAACAGTTTTTCCGCACATTTTGTTATATCTCCGTATTTTTAAAATACAGCCAAAAAGACTGAATATGAAACCACATCCAAGCAGAGGAATTTTTAGCAAACATTTCATCTTGAGCTCCCTTTATGCTATCACTGCGCTACATCTTTCTCTTTTTTACTTGTAATTTTTTTATTTCACTTTTTGTTCACCTGTTTACGTTACTTTTTAAAATTCTAATATGCTTTACAGTGTTGTGGCCAGTTGTAGCTTGCTAAGTGTTAATGCTATCCGTGTCTGCTTGATGCAAATAAGCAAGGGTTAACAAACAGGAGCAGGTTTATGAGGTATACCTTTAAGTAAGTAAACTTGTTATAGTAAATAAATACAATTAAGTAAGTAAAAGCTGAAATTAAATGTGTTCCTCTGTATGGTTACATTGCTAAGTTCAGCTAGCTGTTCAAAATTTAATATGGTATACACCATAACCTTAAAGATGTTATATTTTAGGAAGAGGAATCTATTATTTAAGACAGCTCATGTTCCAAATTGTTTGTTTTGTAGATACATATGTTAAGCTGACATTGCTGAATTCCATGGGTCAAGAGATGTCCAAATGCAAGACATCCATTCGAAGAGGGCAACCAAATCCAGTATACAAAGAGACCTTTATTTTTCAGGTGGCGTTGTTTCAGCTTTCTGATGTGACACTCATATTGTCTGTGTATAACAAACGCAGCATGAAACGAAAAGAAATGATAGGCTGGATTTCTTTAGGGCTGAACAGTTCTGGAGAAGAGGAACTAAACCACTGGACTGAGATGAAGGAATCCAAAGGACAACAAGTATGTAGATGGCACTCTTTGTTGGAGTCTTAATGGCAGTTGTGACTCCACTGGGTCAGGATTCATCAAGGCTGCTACCTTAGATGCAGTGAAGATGGTGTTGCAGAAATTACAAATTCAACATTCCATTTTAATAAATGCACAAAATGTTGTGGACAGAGTAACTGTCACATTGTTGCTTCACTTAACATCATCGATTTCAGGTAAACCTGTGCCGGACAGAGAAGAGACAGCAAACCCAAATTCTTACTACAACATGTTCAGGACTGTTTCAGTTTTAACTTTCAATTTGGTAGCTGATAGGTATTTTGTGTATTACTGCAATGTCCTCCAGTTGTGTGGGGTTTTATTAGTGGTGCTATGCTGTGTTGTATATGATCCAGAAGCAGATTAGAAATAGAAGGGTGGCTAAACAGTGGAACCAAATGCAACAGAGAGAACATTTATAATTTTGGCTTACTGTTTAATTTTAACAATAGCATTACAATCCTCTCCCTCTATGCACGAACAGCCATGCATGCTGGTACCTTTAAACCAGATCCAAACACAACGCTCTGTAATGCCTCCTTAAATTTAGTGACAGACTATTTTCTTTTGGACCATTGAAGGTAGTTTGATGCTCATAGTGTGCACACTTCTAACACATTTATTGCTGGTAAATAAGATGTATGTGAAGGGCACACAATAGAGCAGTATTGCTGAAACTAAACAGCTTTGAGCCTGGTCAGTGTCTGGATGGGAGACCTCATGCAGATCCTATGTTAGCCACCTGAATTCCACAATGAAAGAAATACAGGATGTAAACATGATTAATAAACAACACCACTTCAGAATCAGAACCTCATGACGCCTGTTTGGGTGGAGCTGACAGTGCAACAAAGAAAATACATGCAAACTATGGGAAGTGCAGTGTCTCCCAAACCATTTTCAGTTCTTTTAATAACTGTTGCCTGTTGCCCAGCTCCATGTAGGACTCTGGGGATGGTGCCTCCTCTTTAAAACGTTCATTGTGCAGGATCCATTTTCTCTCTAGTGTCCTTGGATCTCAGTGAAATCAAGTCTCAATGCCTTAAGTCTCAGTTCGTCTCATTTTCCTGAATATTCTACGCCCTGCAGTGGACACTTTTTCCTGGTTCCTGGCTTGTGTTTCAATGTCCCAAGGGATTTGGGAGCTTGTGTTCCTCAAACACCAATCATCTTGCCACATGGTGAATCTGTTTTGAAATTCACAGGAGCCTCAAAAGTCTGAAAAGAGTTGGAATGAAGGTCTGCTATTAAAAAGAGAAGAGTACAAAGATGAGTATATCCATCTCCTGGTTACATGAAGTAGCTCTTTTGATCCTGGCTTTCTGGTTTTTCTTTTCCCTAATACAAGAGGCTTGAAGGGCCTGGATGTATTTTCCTTTGGAAATTTGGATGTTAAAACCTGGGAGCTAAAATGTCTGGAGACAAAGACTTGCAGTCTTCTATTTGACCTTTCCAGTCCCATTACCCAGCTTTAACCCCCGGGTGACAGTATCAGACCCACTGAGGTACTAGCTTGTGGCAGGAACTGACATCAGAGTAACGTTACAGGAAGAGGAGAAGCCCTGCCTGTGCTAAAAAGGAAACTTTTCCAACACTGAGTCACCTTATCTTGTCATCCCTGCTGAGTGTTCACGCAAAGAGAGATGGTGAGGTGTGTTGCCCTTTCTCTCCATGCATGCCACTAAGAGCAAATCCAAAGAGCAGCAGAAAGGTAGCCCACCTGAGGACCTGATCTATGGCCCGAAGTCCACTGTGTTAGATGGAGTAACCGCTAACACCACTAAAACTTTATTTAGTCCCAGCACTGTGCTAGGCATCCATGGTTACTATACATTTTTTTGTCTTGAAAGTATAGCTTCACTATGAGATTTGAGGTGCAGAGAAAGTATTGCAGAGCTCTTGAATTGTTTCACCACTTTCTACTACATTTTAGGGATTGTGTAGCACACTGAAGCTTTGAAATCAGGGACATGATTCGCTTTCCTTGAGGTAAGGCTGGCATCAAGGAACAATTTAAATACACGTTAAAAGTTCTCGTGTGTATATCTGAGGATGGAATCTTTATGTTGTAAACACAGTAAAAAAAATCAAAGATTAATAGTTTAATTTAGAGACAAGGATAATGTGAATTATTAAAAATAAAAATGTAGATTCACAAATTTGGTTTTTTTAACGTAGAGTGTATAAAATTGAGAAAGCACGTATTCGTCACTGACATTTTCACAATATTTTTGAATGCTGCTATATTTGAGATCAGAGACTTTCCAGTATTGCATGAATGGAGCATCATATGAAGGATGTATCGAAACAACCACTTAAAAGATTCTCAACTGTTGTCTTGAAACTGTTACCCAGTGCCTTTAATGTTTCACCACTTAAATTTGTAACTATAATGTGATACTGAATTAATTGATTTCAGTCTTGATTGATTTAAAGGTTTACCAAATGAATTTTCCTTCCTGTGTTGCATGGCACAAGAAATGTACTTTTGTTAAAACGAAACTATTCAGGAACTTTTGTGAAGAGAAACATTGTTGATAATAGTGCAAATATCATATATTCTTTCCAGCTTTGTTTCTTGTTACATTTTCAGTGCATTCTTATGCAAGGCTTCTTGTAAGGCAATATTATTAACATTTTTCATTGAATTGGAGCTAATGGGAGTTTACCTATAAGTCTAATACCACAATTCCAAACATACTTACCAGGAAGTAAGCATTATTGAATTCATTGGAACTTATTTCTGAGTAAACACATTTTCATTGGGTTGTAAGACTTGCACTGATACAGTGCCTTGAGGACAGTTATATATTCATACAGGACAAAAAGAGATGAACAAAGCTATACTTCATGAAGGTATTCCTAATTTTTAAAAATGTATTGTTATGTCTGTGATTGTGATTATGATCAGGGAGACCCTTAAAGCAGAAAGTTGCCTAATCAGAGCTGTAGTTTTATATACATGTTGCTCTTTTACATTCAGTAACTCCTAGAAACAGGTATTGAGTAATTCTGTTGAAGACGAGATAGAGGTGAGCTGACTATAAAAAAAAGGAAACTCATTTTTGTGTAACAATTTACCCAAATTAATACCATGCCCTAATTTTCACACCAGTTGCCTTGTTTTTGAATACACTTGAGTCATTTGATGGTGAGAGAATTTAAAACCCTCTTCTCTTTTTCATTAGGATTATTGTACATGCATCAAATTGCAGATTCAACTTTTATGTCACAAGGTAACAGTTTTTACAATGTATATAGGAACATGCTCTGCAGATATACAGGAAGGCCTTAAAGGAATTTAAAAATCATACAAGATTCTTAAATGAGCGGGGTTGTACATCAGTGACTGAGCAAATGCTTTGCAGATATGAGGACCCAGGATTAACCATGAATATGTTCAGGTAAAGATTCTGAGCATGAAAAATATCCTATACAAATAGTGCTTTGATATAAGACTGCATCCACATGAGGGGCCACATGAAAATGCACCCCTGCCATGGCATCAACTGTAAGCAGTGCAGGAGCAGCATCCACTGGCACCTGTTCCCACACTGCTTGCTGCTGCCGCCACCCACACCCTCTCCTCTTCTTTCCCCCACTGCAACTGTGCAAAAGCAGAGGCACCATGGCAATAGTGCTAGGTCCTCCAGATGCCTTTCTCTTCACTTTGCCTTTCTCTGCCAAGCAGTGCTGTAAAACTACAGTGTAGCTCATCAGGGAAATGGGGGAAAGCCTTTAAAGAACTAAAAAGGGGAGGATGGTGTGGGGTAGCTTGCTACCCCATGCCATTTTGAAAGGAGAATTTAATTCTGCCCTCTCCCTCCTACAAGGAGCAACAGAAGCAGAGTCCACATGGACATTCCCCACTGCTAGTCTGCGGATTCCCCTTTGAGCTGTATTAAAACAGGTTTATTTTAAAAATTGTTTTAAAGGTAAAACCCCCCAGAAATGCCAGAAGTCATGCTTGTTATGAGTATGGTGTCATCATGTGGGTATTCTCCTTTACAGCAGGAACTTCATGTTTTCCATGCAGGGGAAATCCCAGTTTGGAAGCAGCCTACGAAAGCATAAACTCTGTGGAAATTGTCATATACATTGATCATGTATCTTTTCTGTTGTGTATGCACTCAAACAGGAAACAATGCATACACTAAATGTTTCTGTATGTGAATGCAATGATATAGGCAGGTTTAGGTAGACAGCGCACATTTGTTTTTCCACGTAGTTTACAAAGGGCAAAACAGCTCTGTGTGGTTTAGCTGCTTTTTCCTACATGCAGGTGCTATCTGTATAGAAAATTATTTGCATCTGATGGATCTCTAATGGATCTCAGGAAATAAGTCTAGGCAGGGCTATTTTGGGGCAGGAACGCACAGGAACGGAGTTCCGGCTGGCTCCCAAGTTGACCACACCCAGCAGGAACTCATTAGCATAATAGGCCACACCCAATAGCAGAAACTCATTAGGATTGGCTACATTAGGGGTGTGGCCTAACATGCAAAGGAGTTCCTGCTACAAGAAAGCCCTAGATTTTGACAACAAACATGGTAAACAGAATAAGAAGCAAAAGGTGGGTGTGGGTGGATGACTATACTTCTGGTAACATGGGGGTGTGGCCTAATATGCTAATGAGCTATGCTCTCATGGGTGTGACTGGATATGCTAATGAGTTTCTGTTGTTGGGTGTGGCCTATTATGCTAATGAGTTCCTGCTGGGCTTTTTCTACAAAAAAAGCCCTGGGTCTAGGAAAAACTTTCTTCTGAAATTCTAGAGATCTTCATGTGCAGCTCATCAGCCAGGCTAGTAGTCCTAGACTGGAAGTACTGTCAATCTATCCCCTTAAGACAGCTCTTTTTATACTGTTTTCAACTCACTCTGGGATTAATGAAACTAATGAGAGCAGCTACTTTGCTGTTAATTCCTCTGTTGATTTGTGCTCGTAAATTTTGGTTTTGTTGTTGACTATGAAATCTAATATCCCCACTGCTTTCAGATCTTTGAC